ATACTTCACTGCTTCCAGAACTAGGTGGTCATGGGTGGGTGACTTTTTTTTCCCACATTTAGCTCACTTTTCTGGGTCTTGAGCAATGTTTGTCATTTAAGCAGTATTTAGGCACAGCCATTTAGAGTACTAAAGTTAGCACTGTCATTTGCATGGTGAAGGTATCGCTGAATACCATGAAAATGGCAATTGGATTACATTCTGTATAAATGCTCCTCTTTGACTTTAAGATTTTTCCACGCTGACAGTAAATTTCTTAATTGGTTAAAGGCACTTCTTCCAAGACTTTAATTATCTCTATCACATCTAAATAACTAAATAGATTAGTAGACATATGAAAGAATTATTGTGCTCTTATGCTTCTGGATGCTTTGTGGTTAAAAAAAAAAATAAAGGCAAGAAATATCTTTTCTTGCTATTTTCATTTTCTCTGAATCTTCTTAAAAAAGGCTTTTTAAGGCATAAGTATGAACATTAAGTTAGTTATCCGTGACTGACCAACCAATGTTGTCTATGGCAGAAGTTCACAAGCTGTGCCTCAGCAAAGCAGCACACAAGCACTGCCTGAGAAGCCGGCGCTGAGAGACATTCCTACCCCTGCATTAGCAGAAGTGAAAAATAAATTTGGGAAGCCTAGCCCAGGGTGAATATTGTTCCACGTTGTCAGCTGACCCTACTGCAGCCATGGTTTGGTTGTGGTTAATTAGATGATTTGCTTAAGAAACTGGGCTGAAAAATTCCGTGGCTAACATGATTTGAATGCAAGAAATTTTATAATGAAGAACCCATTCATCTGTGTAGTTACTACCTCTCCCTGTGCTTAATGTTTTTTTTGCATTTTATTATTTGCCTTTTTTTTTTATTATTATTTCTCCCTACTTATGATTAGAATTGTTATCAGTACAAACTAGATATTTGGAAATGTCCAGACTTTCCAAAGTTTGGCTTATTTAGCAATATGGTATTCCCCTTGCTGTTTTCCATTTAAGGAATTAGCTGAACATTAACCATAGCGTACTGTGAAAAAGATGCTAAAGCACTCATTCAGCAGCCTTTTTCAACACTCCAGATCATAAATGAAGAACATAAATGAAAAAGTTGTTGATCTACAACTGAAGCATGGCCTTCAACACATTGGATCACTAGCTAAGTCTCTAAAACGCTGTTAACAGAAATTATAGATTGTGGTTTATAAGCAATAGTAAAAATAATTTGCAGAATGATCGAAAGTGTGTACTTGAAATCTTTAATCAGAATTATCCTTTCCAGTCTAATAATTATTTTTTCCCTTTCACAAGAGCAACTTAAATATTCAGTATTTAAGAGATTTCAGAATATAAAAACAATTGAATAATTTTTGAGCCAAAAATAGGAAGAGGCCCGTCGGTGTAAATGTCTGCCTCCTGTCTGCCATATATCTTCAATTTAATGCTGGTAGATGACGTGTGATTAAATCCTGTGGCCAGCTTTGAAATCTCATTTTAGCTTAGAAGTAATTATATATGGAAATCTGTTATAAGTACTGTGTGGGTAACTTTCATTTATGGTTAGTAAAGTGTAAAACTGGAATCTGTATTTGTAAAGCTGTTGTTTAAGCATCCCTTTTGTTCTGTCCTTGATTTAATTTAGTCTATTCAAGTTTTGCTCAAACAGCAGGTTTGGTCATTAGTAAGTAACACAAAAATAGCTTAGCTCTTTGATCTGTACAGTCCTTACAATGTGCCTGTAGGCATGTGTAATATAAATATTTTGTAAGTGCAAATAATTAGAGCATTTTGGATAATAGGTATGTTGAAACTAGCAGTATTTTGCAGATTTTCAGTTCCTGTTGGATGACACAGGGAACAAATAAGTGAGAAAAAACCTCAAATCATCTTGAAATTTACAAAGCATTTGTTTTTAATAGCAGTTATAAAAACTGCTATGCTTTTAAATCCCATTATTTACATAGAAAAAAAGGTGTATTCTTATTGATTTGCATGATTATAAAATGTGTACTGATTTTAAGGTTGATGTATGTGTTGTTTTTAGATCCAGAAGTATGAAAATTGAGAAGATGCATCAGAGTTCTGGTTTTATGATGAGTGTTCTGCTGCTCTGATTAATATTACTCAGTTGATCTGGCAAAAAAAAAAGTATTTTCAGTTGTTACTTTTTTTGATTATTAGACTGTTAGGTTAAATATCATCCTATGACAGTGACAAAAGTCAGTGAACAAATCCCATCTTCCTTTACCTGCTACCTTGGTATTGAGGAACCCAATAAAGAAATCGGCAGTTTCCGGCATGGATTCCATCTCCAAAGAACACGTCAGGGAAATGTCCCTGAACCCCAGCGAGTGTAACTGATAGTGTACTGTTTAACTCTGAAGGTAGAACTACGTTTTTTTTTTCATTCTCGAAAGCAGTATTAGTCAATTTTGGAGCTGGATGTCATTAACTTCTTGCCTTTTATATTTGTTCCAAAAATCACTAGTAGGAAGTATTCTGTCAACTTGAGGTCCCCTTTGGTCTCCTCTATGATTCTGGAGCTTATGTGAGGAGAGGGAGATGTTTCTTTGACCACTTCAGGCTAGTTCTTAAACAACTTCGAGCTCTTGTACACTGCAAGGAGCTCTCAAAGGTCCTTTCAGAGACTAGTAGCATCTTTGTTGCATCTCCTCAGAGCTTGAATTGTTCGTATATGTAAAACTGCAAAGACTTATATAACATAAGATGCAGAGGTTTTGTAAGAAAGACTACTATTCTCAATTTTCAGAGGTAATTATTCTCAATAATTATTTGTACAAATATTAAATTAAAAGTATTTCTGAATGCTGGTTATGTTGAAGGAAGAGACATTCTCAAAAGACATGCTGCATACTGAATGTGTACTTTCTTAAAACATTTTTGATTTCTTTGTGTGCAAGCCTACCCGTCATCATGAGCCTGTGGTGTCTGAAGGTAGTTTAGGGAAAGCCGAGTGCGGGCTCCACCGAAACGGGTAGTCCTGGCTTGTCCCATCTGTAACGGACCATTTCTGCTGTCTCAGTTACCTGGATCAGAAAGCTGGTCTGACTGAAAAATGGCACAGAAAAACAAAATGGGAAGTTGCCTGCCTGGTACTGAGCTGGCTGAGCCCTCTCAGGAGTGCCAGTGCAAGAGGTAGTGGGAGGAGGCTGGATTGTCTTTTCCAGCAGCAGCCCACACTGGTTTTGCCTAAATGAGACAGGAAATCATATTCTAAGAAAGCAAATGACCAGTTTTACTTGAGATGTAAGATACGCCTAAGATTTAAGAGATATAAGGTACGAGAGAGAGATTTACTTGTCATTTAACAGCTCTAGGGAAAGTGCCTGGCGCTGTTCTGTCATGTTCCCCGAGCGATCTTTATCATCATGCTTTCTTAGCCCCTCTAGGTACTATAATGATGCTTAATCTTTTAAATCTGTGATTTTCTCTCTCTGCTTTCCTAGAGAGCTTCGTCTATGTTGTCTGATTTGCTTTGGTCTTAAATTGAAAAGTTGGATAGCGTTTGAAGGCAAGGCTGCAGACAGGAGCTCTCTGCCTGTCACAGGGAACTGATGAGGCTGAGATGCATTTTGGTTCATGCAGAAGCGAATTCTGGTCTCAGTCCTGCCCTCGCGGAGGCTCGAGAGCCTGCACAGGCAAATTCCATACTTGCAGTAAATGTACACCATCATCGGCCCCTGCTGACAGCTTCAGTCGGCTGGCACAAGAAGCTTCACAACCCGAGGCAACTTTTGATTATCCATAACTTAAATGCTTTAACATTCTGGAAATAAAGATCTGCAGCTTAAACTTGGCACAGGGCTCTGTGGGAAACCAGCGAAGCACAAGGAACAACAGAAGGCGAGGAAGTTCAGGCAGTGTAGCCAAGGAGACACCCAGGTGCATTGCAGCTAGTTATCTGGTGCTTTTCTGGCGGAGTCTCACAAGCCTGTGTGAGTACATTGCATTGCTGTTCCTAATAGGATTTGGGAGGGGAATGTAGTGCCAAAGCCAAGCTGCCGCTCCTGAGAGGCCAGGGCATGTCACTTAGAGAAAATGTATTGTATTGCTTCTTGAGTTCTCGGTATTTGGGCAGAGTCCAGTTGTGCAGTTTAAGTACTCAAATGTAATGGCTGTGATTATGAACTTTCTCCTTTCATCTTGCTGTGGTCTGGTATCATTTTGTTCCTTATCATCCATTATCATATTAAAGGCACAGGTTTATCAAATACCTTATCAGGTGAATAGCAGGTATTTACTTAGCTTTATGTTGATGATGAAGAATATTGCAGTTTGTCTCTTTCTCTTCTTTGGTATCTGTAAACTTTGCAGAAACTCACCTAAGCAGAATCCTGCACAAGTAATCCGATGGCTCCGTACCAGGTTTTCTTTTATTACTCTAAAGATATTTGCTTCCAGAAAAGATCAATTAAGTGCCTTTCTGTGGATCCCTGCCATGAATATTATACTATAGTGGTATGACTATGGCCTTATGAAAGATGAAGCGTATTGTTGCATCTAGACTTTGTGTATGAAAAACCGCTACAATCTCTTGTTATTTCACTTGTGGAGATTGCTTACTTGGGATTTCTTGTTTGTTTTGTGTTTTGTTTTTTTTTTACTAAATAGACTTGGATTATCACTTGCTTTTGTCTTCAACTACTCCTACTTAATCCTCTTGTCAAAGCCCAGAGTTCCTGCGGGAATCCAGTGACAGATGATGTGAATGACATTGCAAAATTGGTAAGTAGCTTTTATTTTAAATTACTCTTTATGTTAAACAATAATCAGCAGCTAATGGCACTTACATTTTTAAGCAAAGTTAGCAAATCTGTATTAAAACCAGGGGAATATGAAAAAAAAAATAAAATAAATCCATCAACATCTCTCACTTGATCAAAACCAAAACCTTTATTGCAGAGAGGGGAGAATAGTTTCAGAGTTCATTGAAGAGATGACCTTCTTGATCAGGCTGGAGTGTATGTACATATGTGTTTCTCTCCCTCCAAACTTCCATAAAAACTGTCAAAAGTCTTGATTTCCTGAAACATTGTCTGGGATCAGATTGTTTCCCATGCAGATGAAATATTATTGTCTTTGCGTTTCTGAATTGCGTGGAGCAGACTGGCAGCAAACACAACTGAAATGAACCAGAAGTCTCTACCTTAAGTATATGGGAAATTTGTGCCATATATAAAAAGAGTATGATATTATTGTTGTAGCAATCAAGGCAATAACAATTGAACAGCTCTTACAGTCTTTAGGTGTGAGTGGGCTACACTGATTGAGTGTTTCTCTATTTGATGTGCCTAGAAGTTTAAGTCTGAAGGACTCACGGGTTCCTAAGAGAACTGAATTCATTTAAGTACATTTTAACTGTTACTTAATTGGACACGGCATTAACCTGAAAAACTGCATCTCCTTGTGTGAAGTCAGTTGGTATTTAACTCCACTCCACTGAAATCAGTGATTATGCTAACTTGCAGTAGTGTGGGATCTAACACCAAAGTTTTTAAGAAATAATATATACTGAACACTTAGCAAGCCTACCTTCGTCTTCATATTGACTTCAGCTGAAAACTATGGCTTCATTATGGAAAAATGGTTGCAATACCAGCCTTAATATTATCAAACACTTAATTTGGAGTCCCTTGCATTTGCTGCCAGGGCAGGGTTCATAGTTTTTTTTTCTTTGGGCTTTGTTATATACTTTGGCACATAGTGTAAATCTCTGGGGTGCTCTATAGTCCTACTCAGACGCTTAGTGTGTTAGTCCCTTTAGGCAGAATTCTGAAGTATTGTCATGTTTATTCAGGATAATATTTCATCTCTTGAAAGACTAAAAAAATCAAAAGCTTAAGCTTTGATTTAAACCTGTTGAGAGCATGACAGAACAACAGAACTCCTGTGAGGGCTGGTGAAATTGTCTGTTACACAGTTAGCAATAACTTTTTGTCAATTTTGTATCCTCGGAACAAATGCTTTAACTTTCCCTTTAGTACAAATTAAACTTCAACTGTGTATAAATGCAGTTCACAAGAATTTACAGTTTGAGCAATCACACTTTGCTTTTGAGATAAATTATGAAAGAAACATAATATCATAAAAATTAGGTCAGTCTTTAATTTGACTGTGACTTTCTGTATTTTGTTCCTACACCTTCCTCCAGACTAGTCCAGCAATTGCAGTTCTTGCAGCGCTATGTTTCCATACCCCTACTCTTCCCAACAGCCCCTCTTAGTTCTCCACATGCAGCGTGGTCACTGGTTCCCTCCCATACCCACTGGGCATGATCCCTACCTGAGCAATGTTTTGAGGTCTTGCTAGATTTATATCCCCTTTTGCTTGGGCTGCTGGCTGGGCAGAAAGGACTTTGTGTGGCAACGGTTGTGGTGTGTGTTGTGTGTGCATGTCTTGGAAGAAAACTTCTGCCAACTGTCCAGCTTGCGCTGCGCTTCTGCTGCTGCCAAGCCTGAGCAGAGCCAGGTAGGACTGAGCTCTTCCGGCCACTCCTCAGTGAGGGTGCTAGATGGTCCATCTCCTGACTTACATCCATATCTTTCATATCTTTCTACCAAATGCAAAATTTGCATGAAGTTAACTATCAAGTTCAAAGATATTTTGGGTTGGAGAAATAGCAGAGAGATGCAGAAAATACAAAGCCCAGACACCTGCGTTCTTTCTGTTTTGAGTTGTGCATATGAGAACATTTCGAGAAAAGTCTGTATCCCTGTTTTGTCTGTGTTAATGTTTGCACAGATTTTTCATGCAGAAATAATTTCTCTAAAGGCACTTGAGAATTGAAAGGATAACATGGGAATAAGTTCAGTATCTTAAATTTAGTATAAGAACTCTTGGTTTCGATTAAACTGACTGTATTGCAAGTTGGTCATTCTCTTTTGAAATGCTACACCATGAGAACTTGACATAGAGAACAAAATGGACAAAAAAGGTTTAAAGTACTTTTAAAACAAAATATCATTAGCTAACTGTGTGAGTATGAGAAGGGAGAAATTCACAGAGAATACTGACTTATCACATTACTTTGCTAAAAAGTATAATTTTTTAATGCTATACGGATTATATCCTTAGTACATATAATATGGACTCCAACATGATATTGCTTAGAAATATAGTTCAGGAGACTGTTCACCTCCTGTAAATTACTAGAAGTGCTTTTGTACCACTTCTGCTTTTGAAATAAAATATGTGCATTGAATTAAGGAATGATATTCTGATGACTTACATCTTCAAAATTAGACATAGCACCCATAGGTTGTTGGGTTGTTTATTGATCCTATTAGCCTTTAAAAGTCTTATTTTTCCGCTGATCAAAAGAGTTTGTGCCAGTAGGACACAGTGTCTTTAATAAATGTTTCACACTGAGAAGAAAAATGTTATGTGTACAGTTATTGCCCATAGTTATTGTGATGTTATCCACAAACTCTGTCACACTTGCTGAGAGTGGTATGACAGTTGTTTCTACAGAGTTTTTTCTCAGCCACACTGTCATGTTCTTTAAACCCTTTGTCCACAGTCATGAGTATAGTGCCATATCCATGTGCGATAAACTTGTCATTCAGCGGTGGTACAAAAGTCCCATCATTTAGCTTAGGATGTTGGCCTCTCTTCCTCCTGTCTCATCACAAATGCTCAGACATCAGCTTAGATTCAGTGTGGCCTGAATCCTCCACTGGGGCAGATTACGATCTCTTCATCTCCCCAAAATATTAGTCTTCCCTGGGCCTTTTCTCCTTACTGTAAAGATGTATCACCATCTCTCCCTGGTGATTCAGGTCTATAACGGAATTGTCCATTTTGGCTCTTGCCATTTCACAGACCCTTGTATGTTCAATTTTAAAAGCTCCTTGTTTTTTTTTTTTCTGTCGTAACAGGAAAAATATTTTTGTAGCTCTCTGTCCATACAAATTCACTTTTCTTCCAAATTCTTGGTGGATAAAAATCCAGTCTTCTGAAAAGTCTTTTGCTGGCTTTGACTTCTATAGTTTTGCCCTTCATTCTATTAATTTGCCTCTCTGACCCTGTATCTTCTACTTATTTCCTTCAAGCTGTTCCTCCTTTTCTTCGTTATCAGTGGCAAGCTTCTTGGTTTTGTCTTCAAAGGCACTAGCTATTAACGCTGCCTGTGATGACTTAACACATGCTGAGTTTGCCCTCTTGTCCTAGCTTCTCCTCATTATTTCCATGGTATCTGTTACGGTGTTAGTGGCTGCAGGAAGGATGCTTCTTGATGAACTCCAGGCAGATTCTCTTCTTCTTCCAATCTCATGCTAAAATTCTTTGCAGCATGAATCCATGTCCCTTTTATTTCTTTTTCCTATTCTGCTCTTCCCTACCTCCACTGCAGTTCGCATACACCTTGCAAAACAGTACCACAATTCCCTACCAAACTCTTTTGCCTGTAGCTTGGTGCAACCTAGTCTTCATTTATTTGGTTCTGGGCTTCTTATTCCAAGTACTGTGAACACCCTATACCACTGGTAGAAAACCCCTGAGCACGGCTGCGGCTGTATTTTGCTCGACTGTATTGTATTCTAGAAATATGAGAAGAACATGCCTTCATCAACACCTTCTGTGAATATAGACCAGGGACGTCTACTAAGCTTAAGCTATTGGAGAATATATAAGACACACCATGCAGTGCCTGAAAATGTGGGTCATTTGCCCAACCAACTTTGTGTTGAGTAATAAATTGAGGACAGATGTATGGTATAACTTGTTTTCAGAGGTGTTAATCTAGATTTTCACAAGCATCATACTAGACTCATACCAGAAGCTAGAATCAGAAAGAAAGAGCAGATTCAATAACAATAAGCATTAATAAGCATCAATAACAATTAATCAACCTAAGACCAAATCAGACAGGTATCTGTTTATACAAAAATTACTTGTATTTTCTGTAAGATTACATTTATTCAAATCTTCATAATACAATTTTGTCATATGAAGAACGTCCTAAGTAAAATTATTTTAAGAAGCAAAGAACAGTTGCACAATCTTTTTTTTGTTTGGTTTTTTTAATAGTGAGAACTTTAAAAGAGCATAATTTCATACCTTTAGAGAAGGAAAGTATTTAGAGAGTATTCATTCTGCATTACCAATCACTTGAACTCCTGCATCTTTTTAAATGAAGGTGTCTGGAGGGAAACACATTACTTGATGAACAAATGTTCTGTATTATGAAACTGTAATTGCAGCACCTGTCAATAAAACCTGTCCCCATTGTTCTTTTCAGCACAGTAAGTCGGCAGAAAGCTGCATTGCTATAATTGTGACTCTGATTTTGCATAAGAATGAGGAATCTGTTGTATATATGTTTGTTAAATACGAACATCAACTTTACATAAGTAGAATTTTCACTGAGCTGTGCAGTATGTATAGAAGGTACCTACATATTTTGGTTTCATCCATTAACAAAATCTAAGATATTCACTTCTTCTTCCGTGATCTACTTCTCTAAAGCATTATTTTTCTTTCGAACATTGGAAGCCCAAACAACAGTCAGCATTTACTGACCAGGTTGCCTGTTGGAGACGTGCTGTTTCAAACACTTTGCCTTCACATTGCATCTTTGCTGTAAATGTGTACTTTGCACTCTCTGCAACATTTGATATTTATTTTTAAATGGATCTATCTCTCCTGAGTGAAGGGGTTATAAAAATGATCCAGTGTTGTTATCCTGCAAATAATCTGCCACTATGGCTGTAAGAAGTGTGAACGGAAATCGTTAGCATGTTGTCTTAAGCCAAATGATGGGGATTTTATTAACTGCTTCATTAGCAGATGAGATAGATAGAGTAGATTCCAGAGATGATGGACAGAAAGTTGAAGCTCCCACAGGAAAAAAAAAGTCAAGGATGCAAAGAAGGGAGATGCAGAGGCATTAAAGAGTAGGAAAGGGAAATGAGAAAGAGCGATGGGAGGTAAAAATGGTAGTGGAAAGGAAAGTATGGTTTTCCCATCATATGCCTCAGAGTAAAAGAGAAATCACTGACAATAGTAAATGGTAATTTTTACTTTAAGGACTTACTTTATCTTTGATCTTTGTAAAAAAAAAAATAATATCATGATATCTATGCTTGTCTCTTCAAAATTTTCAGAACAGTCACAATAAAGAGAATTTCCAAAAGCCGTAGCCCTCTTTTCAAAGCACTTGACTGCAGAGATAGGTCGTCTCATTTCTGTTCTGCTCTTGTGATGAAAGAGTAGTTTATGGAACCCAAATTGCTTTAGAACATCCCTTTTTCATCTCCCCATCTATGTGACCATGAGCATATTTTAAAAGTATGTTTGGGTTATGCAATGTTAACAGTGCTGTATTAAATATTCAGACCTCTGTATGTCAAAAGGAATCTTACATTCCCCAGTTTGAGATTCTGTTGCAATTGGGAATATAGCACTTAATGTTGGTTTTATATGGATTTAAAGTCGTAAGTCTGTTCTTCACCTCTTCTCAGAGCCTGATAGGATTTCTACAACCACACACCCCCACTAAATCAGAGAAATTTTTTGTGGCATATTAATTGCATTGCAGGGTTATTTTAGTTCTATACATTACTTTCCAGGATCATCAGTTGACATTCTCTATAATCATCAAAACCGTTACTTTTGTCTGAACCAAGGAAAGTCATGTAGGCAGGTGTTTTGTGGCCCCCAGATTTATCACTGTACTTAATGAGTTGAGTACAGGAACCAAAAAAGCCATTCTGGGACTCTGGCAATTTCAAGGGACAGTCATTTTCCACCCATTTTTGCTCAGGCAGCTCAGAGCCGTCTTGTCCTCTGCTCCTTGTTGGAACCTGCAGCAGTCAGGCACCCCACACAGAGCAGGTACGCAGAGTCCTTTCATTCTTTGCAGGATCACTTCAACAGTTGATAATCAAATGGTTTTGCATCATAGTCTTGGTGGTTAGCCTTCAGTGAAAGTCACTGTTTAACAGTTTCCCACAGCATTCTTCTGGAGGAACTGGCTGGTTATAGCTTGGATGGGCACATGCTTTGCTGGGTAAAAAACTGGCTGGATAGCCATGCCTGAACAGTGGTCATGAATGGAGGTAAAGACAGTTGGTGGCTGGTCACAAGTCGTGTTCCCCAGGGCTCAGTACTGGAGCCAGTTCTGTTTAATATCTTTATCGATGATCTGCATGAGGGAATTGAGCGCACCCTCAGTAAGTTTGTAGACGACACCAAGTTGGGTAGGAGTGTTGATCTGCTTGAGGGTAGGAAGGATCTACAGAGGGATCTGGACAGGCTGGATGGATGGGCTGAGGCCAATGGCATGAGGTTCAAAAAGGCTAAGTGCTGGGTCCTGAGGTTGGGTCACAACAACTTCATGCAATGCTATAGGCTTGGGGAAGAGTGGCAGGAAAGCTGCCTGGCAGAAAAGGTCCTGGGAGTGTTGATTGACAACCAGCTGAATATGAGCCAGCAGTGTACCCAGGTGGCCAAGAAAGCCAACAGCATCCTGGCCTGTATCAGAAATAGTGTGGCCAGCAGGACTAGGGAAGTGATTGTCCCACTGTACTTGGCACTGGTGAGGCTGCACCTCAAATACTGTGTTTGGTTTTGGGCCCCTCACTACATGAAAGACATTGAGATTCTGGAGTGTGTCCAGAGAAGGGCAACAAAGCTGGTGAGGGGTCTAGAGGACAAGTCTTACGGGAGGAGCTGAGGGAACTGGGGTTGTTTAGCCTGGAGAAAAGGAGGCTGAGGGGAGACTTTATCGCTCTCTACAACTACCTGAAAGGAGGTTGTAGCGAGGTGGGGGGTTGGTCTCTTTTCCCAAGTAACAAAGGATAGGACAAGAGGAAATGGCCTCAAGTTGCGCCATGGGAGATTTAGGATGGATATTAGGAAAAATTTCTTCACCAAAAGGGTTATCAAACATTGGAACAGGCTGCCCAGGGAAGTGGTTGAATCACCATCCCTGGAGGTATTTAAAAGATGTGTATGCAGGGTGCTTAGGGACATGGTTTAGTGGTGGTTTTGGCAGTGTTAGGTTAATGGTTGGACTCGATGATCTTAAAGGTCCCTTCCAACCTAGACAATTCTATGATTCTATTCTATGAAATTTCAAGATTAATTTCAGGAAAGCAAGACAGTACAAAATGCACAGATTTAGTACAAACACATCCTTCAGTCTTACATCAGGGGCTCTACCCTATTTTCTGTGTGTGAGTTGGGAAGTCCAACTGGGACACAAATATAACTCCCTCACTTTGACTGAGCTCCATCATTTACCATCAGCAGAGCATCTGGCATGTGGAGTTTAATCAATAAAACTTTAACAAGTTGTTTCGTCTTGAGGCAGGGCATATATTTTGTGTTTGACACCCTCCCCCCCAGTGATCTTCATTTTTAGTAGTAAATTCAAAAATATCTTATCTGATTCACAGTCTGTCAAGGAGAAAAATATCTGAGGCTGAGCTGTATTCTCCGGCTTTGTTTGAGAAGCTGTAAGGGCAGCTACAATTTTTTAACTGTGCATGAAAAGTGCTTGACAGGCACTGATGCCAGTAAAGTAGATTGTATACATAATGCATATCAATTCTTGTAGTGTTCATTGATTTGGAACAAATTTAATCTTCCAGTGACCTTTCTTAAAGAATGGTGCTTTTGCTGACATTGCTAAGTATTGAATCCCTCTAGAATGAGTATGGGAAACTTTGCACCGCACCTTTGCGGTCTTTGCTGCTTGAGGTATGGCTATCCTACCTCTCTAGGCACGCAAAGGAAGCTGGAAAAGAAACTGGATTACCTATTAATGTGTCGGGATGTTTTTAGAGGAAGGAAAAATATACAAAATCTGCAGATAGGCATTTAAAATAAATCAGATGCTCTAAAGAAAGAAAGAATGTACTGCAATATTTTTCAGTATTTGTAGCATCTTGAATCAACTTTCCAAAATGCCAGGTAAACAGAAATCGATATAGAGAATTTTAGTGGCACTTCTGCAAGTGCTGCTTTGGGAATGTGTAGGTATAAAAAGAAAAAAGATAATTGATCTGTGGAAAGGAATTTACTGGGATCATTTGTGTAAAACTTGTTTTTTAAAGATGTAGGAGAAAGCTAGATGTCATTGACCTGAAGGATTGTCACTCAGCCCACGTTGTAAATAAAAAAAAATGTTTGGAATTCACTAGTGACTGACTCTGCATAAGTATTGTCCTTGATCATTTCTAGAACCATAACATTTTGAAATTGGTGTTTTAATTTTTTAATTGAAACTAAATTTTAATTAACAAATAAAACATTCTGTTGTGTCAAACAAAATACTACCTAAAAACTGCACAGGAAAAAAAAATATCCCTGAACTGGTTGCTATAGCAGCAGAATCAAAAGCAGCCATAACAGGATGATCTTTAACCCGAACAAGGAGAAATACTTTGCTGAACAAAGTATAGATTCTGGTTCACCAAAGGAATTATGTAGGTGCTTATTGTCTTTTGACTAAATGGATTTCAAACCAGGATGAGAAATATCAATTGAATCTTTCACTAGTACAAAAGAAAATAGATTTGCTATATCACTAAGCATCATAGCATTGATAAACCTTTTGAAAAAAGTACTTCAAGAGATTGTGGATCGTGGTAGCATCTCCTCTTCACCTCCCCACTCAGCACATTCCCCAGATGATCAGCCACATCTCACGGCAGTGTTGGATCCCATCTGTGGGAGACTGAATTGTATAATTAAGTGAGAACCCTTCTTCCACTCCATGTCCTTGCTTCAGCACACCCCGTACTCACCCACATCTGCAAAGCTGCGCTCAGCTTATGTGTGTGGAATCTCTCCTTTGCCCCAGGACATTGCTGTGATATAATTATATTGCTCATCATTAGTAATAGGCACAGCTTCAAAGTTGAAGTTGCACTCAAGTGTTTTTCTGACCTGGTATATAACTAAGCACAAGGCAGGCAAGTATTTATTTAGGTTCAAATGCTTGCCGAAACTCAAAGTTATTTGAACAAAAAAGGCTCAGAGACTACTGGGTCCTCTACTGTTTGGAGTGGTTTGGTTTACATAGAAATTGTCACATAAACACTTCAAGACATGACATTAAAAGATGAAAATGCAGTGGGGTTTCTGCATCAGACACCTTCTCCTCACTGCGTTACTGATTTTAATTCTGCTGGGAAGGGAACATTGAACATGATTACATTGGATCTGGGAATGTTACAGAGGTGTGGAAAGATGCTTCACTTGTGACCAAATAAGTCAGTAGCAGTTCCACAGGAAACTGAGTATACAAACTTTTGCACCTGGTAGGTTACTGAAAATTTGTTGAATATTTTATAGGTTTTGTTGAATACAGTGATAGAAATTAAGTCTTACTTTGTGTAGTCAGTAATAACATTTTAATTGTCTGTTTATTGTAGGTCGGAAATCTCCCAAATGATTATATGATAACCCTTAAATATGTCCCGAAGATGGATAGTCTGGTATGTACAACCACTTCAAATTAATCCCAATAAAATAGCCCACTGGAACCAGTGATGGCCATAATGTTTTATACCTAGTCCTGTGGCTTAGTAAGTTACAATTAAATAATGGTTATTTCACTATTCATATGCTTCACAAGTATTCATTTGAAAGAAATGTAGAAAGATTCCTGTAGTAACTTAAAACATTTTTAATTACAGGAATCTTAGGAAAATGTTTCTTCTTCTGAAATTTTTTAAAATTTTATCTGGAAAAAGTCAAACTATGGTATTATATCATCATGCCAATTGAAAATTGTTGCTTTATTAAAGAAATAATTTTTTTTTTTAATTGTACTTTGGAATATACTGTAGAACGTCCTCATTTCAGTCAGTGGAAATGCCATTAAAGCACAACAAATACTGAGTAGTGAGTAAAGAGAACGCTAGGTTCAGCAAATGGCAACATCATTAACTAAACAAACCATTAGAAAGTGAGGAAATTATTTCATTCAAACATGCTTTGTATTATTCTTTCTATATAATCTCATAGTTAATATGTAGCGATACTTTCAAATAAGCACCATCTACGTTCTTTCAAATTTTATAACATTTTGTATTAAAAATGTTTTCATATTACCTTATTGCTTACTCTACTAAATATTTTTGATGTTTTTCCTTAATTTTAAAAATAGTTTGAGACTAATGCATTGCAATACTCTCTTGGTTGTTGCATATACAGCAAGAAAAAGAACAGAAGAAAACAAGGTGAAAGTAGAAATTATGCTGAATGCTATACAGTACTATACTTAAAACAATAGCTTTAAGGAAAGAAAAAAAGGAAGAAAAGGACTAGTATGAAAATTAAACTGAACAATACTGTGCCTGTCTTAAGAATGAATCATTGGACACATACATCAGTAGCTGGAAATCATCTGGTAGATGTAAGAAGCTGGTTTTCTTAATGAAGATTTCACTATGAAAGTCCAATTTTCATTATGAAAATCCAATTTGTGTGCAATACACATATAAAAAGGCATCCCATCCTACAACATCATAGCAAATCTAGCAATATTCCCTATTGATAAGCCACATTCTCTCAGTTCTGAATAACAAGAAGATGGCTGGAGGAAAGGGAGGCTGTAAAATAGTGAAGGGCCCTGAGCTGTGAGGTTACGAGGTATCATGGCAGATCTGGCAGTGTTCTTATGAGTTTTTTTGGAAGCTCGAGGCTTTTACTTGAACTTAGAGTACTTCAGAAAACCCAGTTTAAACTTGATTCCTTAGACAGAAAAACTGTGCAGAACAAATGCAATGGAAGTCAGGTACTAGATCCTATATAATATAATTAAAACTTATGGAAAAAAATCCATTTCTGAAAATAGCCAATACCTGGAGAAAAAGGAAAACTGGCAGCCACCATCCCCTGGTTGTGGTGCTTTTTGAAATTCAATCGTTTTGGTGCCTGATGTGATGAGATTTCTATCTGTGGAGGACAGCCGTAGCCTGAGCGCTGCTCCTCAGCCTCCGGGATGAGCCCGGCAGCTGATGGGTGAGAGCCAGGCTGGATCGGGGCAGTTCCCTCCACTGCATTCCTGGGGAGGTTGGCAGTGCAGATGAAGGCGGCCAGGGAGCCTGCTTGAGTGATGGGTCCTGGTCGTTCTCACTGCTTAACTCTTTCCACGCTCTGTGGTTCAGTTTTGGCTGCCAGTAGGTAGTTTCTTTTCTATAGTTTAGATGCCATGTCATCTTGCTGCATCATATCCAGGAACTTAGATCCAGTTTACATTTACGATGAGCGGCCAAGAAATAACTAGGAAGAAGAGAAGTTTAGCACCGGCATTTCCGTATTCCCTTTGCTTGTACACCACTTTCAGTCATGGTGATGGAAGGTGCAGCTCTTGGCCACATGCCTTCGCAGGAGGAAGTATTCAGTGGTATTCACATCCCACTTTGCCAAATTCCTCTCTGGGGATTTCAGGTTATGTTACGCATACCACAGCAAAGGCTGGCTGAATAAGTAGGTTTGGCTCTGGGTTCCGCAAGGTCCCTGCAAGCTGGGAAACCCACAGTTTTGCATAAGGTGAATGCCCTTTGTTCAGTTCTGAAAGGATTGAAACGGTGCCCTGCAATACTTTTATTTCAATAGATTTCAATCTTCAGTGCGTGCATAAAGTGGGAAATGTACCCAAGGTAGCAAGTCTCAAATGTAGATGACTAAAGGTAGGAAGGCAGGGTGAACACAAAGCAGATGGGAAGCCAGTGTAGTGCATGTAACAGGAACAGACTGACCCGATCCATTAAACGGAAGGGTTGTTGCATTATGCACTAGCTCACGGCATCTGAGTGGCTTTAAAAGTAGTCTCGCATAGAGTGAACTGTGTAGTCTAACCTGAAGGTTAAAAGGCAAAGATGGCAGCAGCAGTGGCTGAACTCAGAAGAGGAAATAAACTTGAAACTTTTCGATAGATGTAGAAAGAAGAAGCTAAATGAGGACTGCCTGGAAGTACAAGGCAAGTCAGGTTTGCAATTGCCCTACAATGTAAATCTTGGTCAAAGTTTATGCAAAAAAGCAGAGAGAAACCTCCATTTCTCCTTGCAAATAATGTCACATTTCTCAATTTCAACAGTTGCATCCCTGTGTTTGGTAGCTATTGAGAAAGCAAGCTATTGCACAGCTTGATATTACTGAAAAGAAAACTTGAAGCTCTCGTGAAATACAGCTTTGTAGGTCAGAACGATTCAGTCAGAGGAGACTCCCACGCACATGCTAAACCACAGGAGCAACAAAATAGATTCCCTGCTGGAATCACCAAATGCTCACTAGGAGAAGCAGCAAGCTTTTGCAAGTCCCTGCCAGAGGAGTATGCACACCCATAAAACCTCAGAGGAAAAGGGTTTCCAGTTTTGCAGTTCAGGGAAGCACAGAAGTTCTGTGTCTGTGTTCCTACACCAGAGCAGAGGAAAACGTGTTGTCTGTCTCGTGACGCCAGTGGGACATGGCACAACACGTGCTGCTTGAACTGAGTATGTTTCAACAAGTTTTCTGTGATTTGTTTGCTTCTGGCTCTCCCCTCCCATCATTGTGCCTGAAGGAAAAAAGGGAAGCCGAACCAAACCAAGTGCCATCCATTTCAAATTTTGTTTCATTCTTTTTTAAGTCATTGTTGAAGTAATTACAGAAGGTGATAATACTGACTTGCCACTTGTTATCAGTGTGTGAGAGAGTTGTACACAAAAGTGAAAAGTAAAGTGGAGCTGAACAATGTATTTACATTTGGTTATCTAAGCCTGGAAGCCTAATAGTCTGGTTAGTCTTCGAAAGCACAAAGTGTGTTTTTTCTCATCAAAAACATTTACACCTCAAGGCAGAGCAGCACCTGTGTCACCGAGAAAGTAATTTGTCACCAAGTAATGGTATTTTTTTAATAAGGAATCTGATGTGGATTTATTGCAGAAATTGAGTGAAATGAGATTAAGCCTAGAAGCGAAGACAACACCAAATATTTCCCATATGTTGCAGAAGGTGGAATGGATGGATTCAGTGGATGCTTCCTGTCCACTGGGAAGCAATTGGAAACTGATTTAGTGATACTGAGAGTATTTAGGGGTTGCTAGCCCAAGATCATCATAGGTGGCAGGCTTTAATGATCCTGAGACATTTTCAGCCTCTGAAAAATAGCTTCACATATGGAATAAATTCCCATAACATTTACCATTAAAAAAAAAGCATTTATTGGGGAGGGATTTCCAGGTAGATGTTGCGGTGTGACTAAGACATTACCCGTATTTTTGCTGACCATATTGAGGTAGGGTTATTCCTGGCCTGGGTGGCTTTTTTATTTACTTGACTACTGTTATGTAAATCTAAGTAAAAGAAATTAATGACTCCCTGTAAGGCAGCAAGATGAATGACCAGGTTTCAATCACATGGACAGCTGTACAAACTTTATTGGCAAACTAATTGCATAGGTGTCAGTGAAAGGATTTGAACGCTATTCCAGTGGCACAAATTTGGCAGATACCGCAACAGGCTGTGTAGAACCCTTTTGTCAATGAAAACTCGGGCAAATTAGAAACTGTTCTCAGGAATGGAATTTAGTGAAAAAGCTGAAGAGGAAGAGTTAACTGAGCTAACGAGTTTAAATGTGGATAAAAGCACACATGGATTTCATGCAAAATGTTTATGGAAACGTTCATCAGAAGAGATTTAAATCAAGGATCTTTGGGGTTAACTGAGTCATGTAGGGTAACAATAATAAATGAAAAATGAGACCCGTTTAAAGAAAGTCTGAAGAAAATTGTTAAAGCAGTAGTTATTTAAGAAAAATAAATAGGTTAATGAAAGCGTGGAAGAGGGTTCATGCTAGTATGTCTCAAGGCTCAAATTCTCAATAGACTGACGCTTAGCATTCATTAAGAATTTAATGAAGGGACGGCATTTAAAAGACAATCATAAATATGTCAGTATGAGTGAGAATAGAAATTTTACCAAAAGGGCTGAAGAGAAAGTTGGCCACGCTAAAGATGACAAATTTTAATTTAGACTTTCAAGATAATTTAAATTGGAAAGAACAGTCTAATCTACTTCTGCACATTGAGTTGCTTAACCAGTTTTTGCAAAAGTCTGATATTTAATCTACCCCTCTGTTTCTCTTTTTATCCTCTGACAGCCTAATCACTGTTGGTTGCATTTGATGGTGCCTGAATTTTCAAGAAGTCTACATAATCTTCTCCAGAAATTTTCGGATATTTCAGATATGTCTGATGTTTTGAGCAACTATTCAATCATCAATAATCTCACAAGGATAATTAATGATCTTATGGCATGTTTAGCTTTTGATAAAAATAAGGTAATCTTTTTCAGAGTTTCTGCTCTTATGCTGGATATTTTTATTTGAACTTTCTCTTGCACAGTACTCAGCAATAGTTTAAAAATGCCCAAAGCTTCATTAGATTAGTTCTCATTTTTATTCCTGCACATCTGAAATCCTGCTTTGTTTAGAAATGCACTGAGGACACTGTGCTAACGTTGGCAATTTGGTCTCCCATTTCAAAGGAAAATGGCTTACAAGGAATTACAGTATATACAATGACCTGTATACAGTTATTTAAGTAGCCAAAAATGTAACTGTCATCTTTAAGATAATTAATTCATTCTGGTCTGTTTGAAACTGCCAGAATTCTTCCTCGTGCATCCAGCTTAAATTATTCATTTTGCTAGTGATCCTAATGTAAATTTAAAGATGATGTTGTTGAAGCTATTAATATACCCTTAGTATGTATCACAGCTCTGAAAGCTTCGCCATGGTTTAATGAACTTTTTTATACAAAGACACAGCAAAGACCAGAGGATATCAGCCCGTTTCCATGTGTTTCTGGATGCCAACAGCAGCTGGAAGGATTCCAGGGGTCTCACTCAAGAGACGTCTGATTCTCTTGTGTGAAAATGGTCATGGTGGAGGGAAATTAACTTTCTAATCCCTTACCCAGCTCTAACTAGTCTATCAGTAACTAAAAATAAGTTCTGTAGTTGAAGGTTTTGTCCCACTGCACAAAATGGGCAAAATCCATCATGTTCTTTACAGTAAGGTATTCATCTTCCATATATGTTTATTTTTGTCAAGTGAGTCCTTAGGCATTGTAATTGCACTGTTTTAACATCCAGAATTAATCAAATGGACTAAAACACTCTATCTCATTTAGAGTGGTATAACCTTGTAACCTTGTCATATATTGGCATTATATTGCTGAGAGTATTTAGACATTCCCTGCCTTTCCATTTCAAGCTGAATTCTGTCCAATCTTCAATGGATCTCTTTTTTTTTTTCTATTCTTGTCCTGATGATACAAAGCACTCAGCTCTGGGATGTGGTTGGGGAAGAGGAATTTTATTTTGTAGAATGAAGTAAATATCCTGTAATTCAGAGAAACAACTAGCTATTGATTTCCTCAGAGAAGAATGATCTTAGGTCTAGTACTTTCAGCATTAAACAAACTAATTTTGGAGCCAAAACTAGGATTTTTTCCTTAGTAGGTATTTAACCCATGTTCATACCACTGTCCTCCTTCTTGGGAGCGCAGAGTAACCCCAGGCCAAATTCGACCTTCGATAAGAAACGGTTGTTATGAGTCAGGTAAAAAGAAAAAAAAAAAAAGAAGATAACCATCAATGATCTTAACATGGGCCTCAATCTTGTTTAGTCTGGCATAACACACTTGTTTGTGAGACCTCAGAGTGATTGGGCTTCCTTGTTTATAGTCCTACTCTTATTTTTAGGTACATTATCAGGGATCTCAGCCTGCTTCTGTGCAGTAGTGTATCCCAGCTATTGTATTGTGTTCCCTGTACTGTTATGACAATAGCTATGATTGTGTTGTGTTCCTGTGTTCAGATTAAGTGATCATGTGGAACATTGCAAAGTAATGTGAAATCAAGGTGATTTTTTCAATAAGGGAAATAAAAAAAAAAGTCTCTTCATTTTCAGCATAGAATAAGAGAATGCTTTTCGTTCCTTGGCAATTTTACAACACTGGATTAATAATTTATTTCTATTTGCAAAGCTAATCTGAAATCTTCAGATCAGAGGGCTTGTATGTTTTATGAAGATTGTATACAGAAAATTTGGTCTTCTGCAGGGTAAAAATTTAAACTATTTTGTGTCATCTTTGAATATTTTTATCATCTGTTGAGGTGCTGAAATGAGCATCTCTCTTGTCTTTCTTTCAAGCTGAATTCTGTATTTTACCCTAGGATTTTGTAAAAGAAAATGGTCACCTTTATAAAGAAGGTCGCTTCATTCCTGAGGATTTTTTTAGGCACTTTAATAGTACCATTGAGGTCTACAAGGAGTTTGCAGACAGGTTGGATAAGAATGACTGCATTCTGCCTTCAACAGTAGAAACACCAGAGAATGGTAAGATGGCTCTCTTTTTGGGGAACAGAATGGAAGTAGATATAAATGGGTGATTTTCCTTTTTTTCAGGTTTTCAGAGATGCTCAGGATCTGATGCTATATCTCCTTTTTACTGCCAGTTAAAATTACTACCAACACCACAGCTTGTATTTCTGTTCTAAGTCGAGTTCTGACAGTAAAACTAGTGCCATCATTCCTAGTGACATCATTCCTTAATGTAATCCAAATAACCTCACAATACTCTGCTCTGTTTCTTTTCATCCCAAATATATCCCGGATCATATTTTTACATTGTTCTTCTTATCTTCCATTAATGTCCATTTAATTTTTATAATGCAGTAAAGGAGCCTAAGATTGCACTACTGACAGGACAGGAAGCTAGGACAAGTTGTAAATTGGAGCAGCCTCAATCCACCTCCGTATTCATCCCTACCCTCCTGAAAAGGGCCATGTTTACTTCATTTAAAAAATTTAACAAGCTCAAGTCAGGCTCCTGCAGTTCATTCTCACCCTTCCAGTAAATGGAGGGAGTTTATTCCCTTTGCTGTTACTTTCTCTAGTGACTGCCACTAGCTTTTTAATTAGGGCAACATATCCAGTTGCACAGTTACACCAGTAGCATCTAGAAGTAGATCAGTGCCTTAACCTAAGAACTTGTTTAAAACAGTTGCTTTTCCAGAATAGCTATTCAGCAGCAGTTCAGTGTGTAGACACATTTACCTCTTAATAAGAGTACTTTTTTGGGCTTAATCCACTCTATAAACAGCCCTGTAGCCAGATTTTTAAAACAGCCCTATAGCCACATCAAAGTAGCCCTATAGCCCATCATCTTATAGAGAGGGAACTGTATTTTAAGTTACATAATGCTGACACACTCATTTTCTATTTAGATTCCAGAGTCGCTGTCACAAAAACATTTTTGTTTCCTCCTGTTGCTGCCAGCTCCCTTAGGAATGACAGCATTGGCAGTAACACTAGCAGTAACAGTAAGTACAAGTGATTGAATTAATATATGTGTCTCCATTTTGTTCTGGTAGCTGGTTGTTATGAGAGCTTAGAGGAAAAGAATGTCATTAATTGTGCAAATTAATGGGAAGTTACTTGTGCCTGATGGTGTACCATGTGTTTCTCAGCTGTCATACCGAAATGCAATGAACTTATCTAATCAAAATTTAGAGATGCTATCAAGTTACAATGATATGACAGCTCTCTACAACTTGGAGAGGGCAGATCTCTTCGTTTTGGCTGTCATGAGGTCTCACTAGTCATATGGCCTCAGCAAACTTGGCCGTCCCAGACATCTCATTTTAACTCTCAGAAAAGGAAGTTGTTCCAAATGATCAGAATAGCTGTCCAAAATCAGACCCAGGGTACTCACGCAGACAAAGAGGTTGCCTGTACGTTGCATTTTGCAAGAACTGTCAATCCCAAGCTCAACACCAAAACTGTAGACAGTCCCCATGTTTGCTTGCTGTAGTCGCAGCAGGGCCAGCTTCACCCTCAGTGTGCTTTTGTATGAGGTCATGGACAAAGTCACTGCACTTTTGGCAGTCTGTAATCTTTCTCTGGCATGGCCATCTCCCTGTTTCTTGTCTGTCTTGGTCAGTGTATTACATGACTGGTCACTGACAGATAGGAGAACCCAGAATTGTTGCTGTAAGAGCCTCAGTATTACCTGTCACGAGGTCAGAAGGGGTATAGGAATCTGAGGTGAAGTGAGACAGCGAAGTTTCAGGGGCTTTTAGTGACATCATGTATAAAAAGGTGAATACACTCTGGAGCTTTCCATGTGAACAAAAGAAGGGGATTTTCCTTAGAGGTTCCTGAAATGGTGATTAAAGCTAAACCAGCTTGTTGTTTCCCTTGTTCCTGTTTCCTGGACACATCAGGATGACGATGTGTTTCTTTTTTACAATTTCACCCTTTCACTTCACAACCATCCACGGTATCTAAATGTGTGGTGATGAAGTATGTGGCTGGTACTCCTTGTGCTTAAGAAAACATGGGGAAGGAGGCAGCCTGATGTAACCTGGTGGGCACAATGGTAGCTTCTGACGGTGGGCCAGGTACTACTAAGACTGAGTTTCTTCTCATGCTTCTTCTCTTGGGAATGTGTAATCTAGTTATTCTCTAGGGCTTTATCACCATGCATGCATGCTATCTCTTAGTTTGCTCACAGCTGCTGTCAGATTTGAAGCCCTTCCTGATTGCTTTCCAATTAAGAGAAGGTCTTAAGTCGTCATTCCCCAGAACACTTTTGAGTAGAAGGTTGGAACAAAAACCAGCTTTGACTCCTGGCTGCCAGCCTGCCTCTCTGGAAAGGAGAAGTCTCAGTGCCACAAATTCCTCACCAAGAGGTCACAGCGATGGCTGCAAATAACGTGATGAGCCCAGGGCCAATTATGAGGGGGCCAAAGAGCGCATACTGGTCTCTCTCAGGTCTGAACATGTGATAAATTTTTGCTGTCGCTGTTAGAGGAAGAATATGGAGCCACAGCCTGAAGCAGTGGGGGTGGATCAAGGAGCCAAAAGAAAGACAGATAGATTACAGGAGCATTGCAGGTGAAAGGAGTTTGACCCAGTACGGTAACAGGAGCAATGCCAGGCAGCGCAGCGGCGTGTGGCACCTGTGTCTGTACTGTGGAGGGGAGTACAGAAGCAGGTTTATTAATCTTATTTTAAAACTAGAACTGATGATCAAGTAGGAAAAAAAGCCTAATTAAAATAATGCAGTAAGTCAAAGAAATTGCTTGGCTGGCCATATGCTGTACAGGTGTGTCTTAACTGATTATCATTCTCCTAAGCAATTTATTAGAAAATTGGATATTAGTTAACAGCCTTATGTAGAAATGACATGAGGACTGCATGGCTGGGGCTGGGCACAGTTTGAACTCATAATCAGATTAAATTACATTAACTTGGACATTGGACGCTGACTGGTTACACTTTAGTTATTTGTTTAGAGTTTTTTGCAGGGAGAGACCTGTGGCATCTTTATTGGCATCTCTGTCTTACTCCCTGAAAATGGTCTTCAGTAGTGATTTTAGTTTTGTCTTGGCTTTATTGCTGAGTAAGTTTACTTCTTTACTTAATCCCTACCTTCTTGGAAGGAACAACAATGAATAAACCTTACTACTTCCCATGTGAAGAGTCCCCAGCACAGGGGACCCTGTCTGCTGGCTTCAGTACTGTTCTCAGCAGAACAGCACCACTAGATTGAAATTTCAAAAAGGAAAACATTTGGAGAACAGGGGAAACCTGAGGAAAACAAAGTATCTCCAGACACAAACTACTGCAATATTTTCTTTTTAAATGACCCTCATTAATTTAAAAACATTTTAAATTGAGCTATTTAAATTTAATGGTTTCTGGACCATTTAGAAGCATTTACTGTTTGCAAAAGAACCCCTCCAGATTAATAATAATTTTTCAATCTATTAATAAAGTCTCTGTAGTCAGATGACTTGAACTGCTCTTAATTCTAAATTCAACTTAGACAAACCTGAAGTGCATCATCTAATAAAATCATTTGTGAAATAATTATCATACAAATTGTATATAATATAAAATAGCTAAATTACATTTCTTCATGTTGTTGATACATTTGTTGAAAGAGTTATATTTCATGACTTCATTGTTATTACACAACAATAAAATTAACTACTATAATAGAGTAGAATCTTGCCTAAATCTACACCAAAAGTCTTACCTCAACTAAGCGTAAAATGGAACAATTATCCTGTTTTAATTTTATTTTGAATGGCAATAGTGCTGTTTTCATCCTTGTAATACTGAATGTAGATCTGTGGCATGTTCCCACTCCATCTTTTCCCCCATAAAATTCTCAAAACACCACCACCCCCAATTTACTTAGGCTGGTTTGTTTTCTTCTGTTTGTAGTCTAATTTAAATACCAATTAACTGTTTAAGTCCCAGTCTCATTGATATTTCTCAGAATCATTATATCATGCTTAGCCTCGAGAATTCAGATGAGATGGTTCCCGTTTAAAGAACAAGTGTCAGGATAAGAAGTCTTGAGTCCTGATCTCTTCTTTCAGTGGTTGAACCAAACAATAAATAGTAATCTTTTCTCTTTTTTTTCCCATCAGATGAATCTCATGTTGCTCTGATTAAAGCTTCACCAGCTAGAACTTCCTAGCTGTTACTAACACTTCTTACTCAATTTAGTGCCATGGTATTATTTATATTTTCATGGAAAGTTCAGTGTTGATTTTTTCCATTTTTGCCTATCATTTCCTCACAATAATTTAGCTTTATTATTCAGTACTGAACAGCTCAAAGAACGTGTAAACACAGATATCTCTATAACTGTTTTTAGGAAGAAGGTCTACTTTTATAATTAAGCAAAGAATACCATAGTTTAATTCTGTAATTGCACAGCAATGTGAAAATGTTCACCTAAGGCTTAATGCAATTGGTGTTGCCTTCTGTGCCTTTGTTCCAACTTCGTAGTTAATGGAGAACTCTAATGAACAGGTGAGAGCTGCTCTGCATTTTTATAGATAAGATCTTGTGGTAATTGTGTTGGAGCTGAGCAGAGGTAAACTGAAAATTCCTTTGGGACATACATGGCAAAAATGGAGCCAGTGCTTTGAATCATAATTGGTTGCTAAACCTGCACGCATGGCTCAAGGTGGAGAGCAGCTCAACAACTTTATTGTGTGGCTGAGTGGCTTTTAATGTAAATATACTTTGTTCACAGCTTGATATCCCAATGTCCATGAAGACAAAACATAACATCAGATGAGCTCACTTCCTTAGGGAATCTTCCACAAGGTGCAGAGTGAGAGCTCTGATTGATGCTGGCCTGGTTCCATTCCCCTTTTGCACCTTGCTGGATAGAGTCTATTTTAAATGAATAATAAACTAACTGCAAAGCCAGGACTTCCTCTGGCGTTGCCCAAGGATTTCACAAAGTTACTGATACACCTGGTTCCTCCTATTCCTTCTCCTACTCTGCCTTTACAGCTGCTGGGAGTGGGAATCTTTCTGTGTAGAGCTCTCAAGTTTCTAACAGAGGAAAAGGTCCCTAACGAAGGAATAAAAACCTATTGGCAGTTAGCTTGCTTTCCTTATCTCCCTTTTCTTCATTAGGACACAGGTTCCTGGGAGGTTCTCTGACTGAAAATTCTCCAACCTCCTCTGTTTTAGATATTACTATAAATAAAAGGCACATGAAGAAACCTGCCATGACTCATTTCATTTTCTCCAGATCTTTCAAGAGACTTTTTTCTAGACTTGAAAGTGAAATTAAATAATGTGTTGTGGCTTGCGTTTTAAGGTGGTTATGGGTTACTTAACTTTCAAATTAATTCATACGCTATCAAGTTACAAAAAAAAAATATTTTTTTTTAATTTCTAAAAGGTAGGCTGGGGAGGATGTCACAATTTGACTGTCTTTAGGCTCTGTCCCTGTGTTGCAGGTCCCCACATAGAAAGCTAATTATGAATTCCTCTCAGTTTTCCATAGATGCTGAAGAAAACACCTGCATTGGAAATACCTTCTCAGAAATCAGATCTTTCCACTTCTAGATGCCTCATTGTAAAGGGAGCTCTTCTGTTGTCTAAGGCGCCCTAAAGTTTTTGAAAAATAATTGTAAAAATGAAAGTGCCACTACCACTGATCGCCCTGCATACACAACATTTCTCTAGAAGTTAATGTAAAAATTAGTGTGCTTGCCATGACATGCTGCCCAGCATTGCAGAGTAGGCAGAGGATTTCTGAGGTTGCGCACTCTACCATAACATGTTATCAAATAAATTATGCTCTATATTACCTGAAGAGTTTTTCCTTTGATTTTTATTTCACTTTTCCATTTTTTCTGAAGTTTGCTGGGCAGAATCCCAAAAACATCACCATCCCCATAGTATTTACATAATTCAGTTGTATAACTCAGTGGTCTTTCATTGGGAAGAATGTCTACATGGTGTTAGACAAAGCAGTGTTGCATTTTTCTTGACTAGAGCACAAGACCAATATAGGAATTTTCTTCTGAGAATATGCTGAGAATACAACTCAGATAAAGTAATGACAGGAGATTTTTTTTTAGATGTTCAGGCTGGCTCTGCCCTACCTGAGCTTGTCCAGATTTCTTGAAGGTCAGTCCTGCAAGCAGACATCCTCTATGCATAATGTGGGACGGACAGTTTGAGAAAAGATATGCCCCTCCCATTAATTTCTGCTCTTGGTTTTAATGTCTGAGCAGTCAGAGGCGGACTAATCGATAGCCTCTCTTTTTCAGCTGCTGTTCACTTGTGTAGCTATCTTTCCCTTCTTCTCTGTAGATAGATTTATTTTGTGGTAAGTTAGCATTGGCTTTGCTTGACCAATGTTTCCTTTTAGTGCGCTGGGTAAGCAAAATTCAAGCCCCTATAGACAGAACCTAGAGTTTGTAAACAGTGTATGAGATACAGAGATACATGTAGTGTATAAGTATATAAGATGCAGACTTTTTGTTTTCGTACTTTTTAGTTCTGTCTACCATGAGTCTAGAAAGCACAGCTGAATTTCAGAGATAGAAAAGAACATTTGTGTAAAAGCTTGCAAACTGTTAACAAGAAAATTCCAGAGTTGAAAATGAGTTGCTAGTTAGTTGTGAGAATGCTCCTTTCTAAAGTGTTTTCATAGAAGCTGTTTAATAATGTACTAAATGCACATTGCTTGACCGAGTATATCATACCGTACATGCTTCGACATTTGCTGTTTGCATGAGTCACACAAATTTCTAGTGTTACCAGTCCATTTTCATTTCTGTATCTAATCACCTACACTTTTTCAGTGCTTACAGTTTGGTTCTTTTCCTGTAATCTGACAATACACCCACCATTCGAGCTGCAGACACCAAATCTTGAAATGAACTAAAACTGGGTGGACTGTGTCTAAACTAGCAGTCTCCTGTGGCTCACTTTGCATTTCAGAAGGTGGATCCCCGGCTGACTCTGTAGGACTTTTCACATCCTGCTCTTGATTAAATAACTGGAGGGCCACATTTTAGTCTCAGCATGCGTACAGCTCCCTGTGAGGGGAATGGAATTGATTGTGAACATAAAAGACTAGGATTGGGGCTCTTCCGTATAAAATGTAAAACACTGTCAAAAAACAGTAGCAACAAAATAACACACAGCTAGGCTTCAAGGTACAAGGGCTTGATCTTACTGAAGTCAGGGGGACCTTTGCAGTCTGCCATTGAAAGTGAAGTCAGGCTTATTTTGTTAAATTAACCTCCCTCGAGAGGCCTCAGGTTGGTCGTTCATTAGGCAAGGCAAAGTGTCTATCTGCAGCCAGTGGGATGCATCTTATGGAACTTAAGCAAATGCACGAAGTGACAGATATATTCTCTTCCAAAGAACTACTTTGTGTTACAAAATAAGACCTTTAAAAATTGATAAAGCCAAAACTTTGAAGTTTGGGAAAGAGAAAATTCTCTACAAATGACAAAAAGAGAATTAGTGTTAGAACTATTCCACACAGCTGTTCTGGAAATGAGAGGACCGTACTTGTGGTCAAACATTTCCTGAGATTTTGTATGAAGTGCACCTTGTGTACACAGCACTTTGAAGTATCTGTTCTGCTATTTAAGTTGCTGTTATGTAGGTGGTGCATAAAAGTGTTCTTGCTAATAGTGTTGCCCTGAAGATAGTTTTCTGCTATAAATCTGTCTTCACTAACGAGAACATCTGTAATTACAGAAGAGGCACTTGGCTTCATTAGCAGCTCCAGCCTGCAAGGGATCAGCATAGCACTGACATCATTGCTGTCTCTTCTTATTGGCTTTATTTTGGGAGCCATATACTGGAAGGTAAGAACTACTACATTTAATTGCTTACATAGTGATACTACATCTCGTAGCTATGGGGAGGTGGGAAGAGCAGAACCGTTCTGCATTTGAAAGCAAGAGACATCTCTTTTGATCTTCACTGAACTGTGTGACACGCAAATGTAAATCTATGTTGTCAAATTCTTGGATTCCACCACCAAAGTGCAAATCCTGTCTTATCAGCATGATAGCTGTCTAATTGGAAATTAAAAACATGGGATTCCCCCAATTTCCCAGTTCTCCTATTATATCTTAAGAAGAGGATTCATTTGCTTTTGCCCCTTATGCCCCTGCTTACAATACAAAGGCTTTGATAGTAAAATTATACCAGTAGCAGATGTATGTTAGAGGACAAGATTTGGCCTACATTTTGGAAGATGACTTTGATATTGAAAATCTGAAGCAAATTGAAACATACAACAACTGTTTAGGGAGTTGTTAAAGAAAGCTTTAGAATATTTATATTTAATGCATTTTCTGCCTAGAAAACACATCCCAAACCCAGACCAGAAAGTGATGAAACTACACAGTGTCATGACTGTCAAGAGGAAAATGAGATAAGGTACATTGTTTCACTTTATATACATATATGCAATTTTCCTTAAAAGGAAATTTAAACAGGTTACATTCTCCATCAGACATATTCTTAAATATATGACATATGTTTTTTTCTCCCTCCTCCCTGAGAAATTTCTAGTATTCATCTATAACTAGGAAGACCTAACAGCAAACATAAATTCTTATACTTTGTGTTCCCTTTTATTGTAATGAACTGATAAACCCTTCCATTCTATTTCCTTGAAACACTAGCATTGTAGTAATAAAGTACCCTTTTTTCAGTATGTTGCAGCAAAAAGAAAAGGAACATCTACAAGTGTAGCTGTTGCTTTTTCTCCCTCAACACTGTTACTGTTTCGTGTACTGGTAAGTTGATACAGTTGAGAGTCTTACTATATGCTTAATAACTTTCAGCTGCTGAAATATAAAGGGATTCAGAGCCCATTTTGGGGAAAAAAAAACAACAATCCAACAGCAAAACTTGTTATCAGTAGACTTCATTTGTACCTAAGATCTTTAGCAGCTAATTTAATTAATCCTGTATCATTAATTTAGGCATTTTACTTTCAACCTTAATGTTACAAAATGAAATATGCCCAGATTGCAAAATGAAGGACAGCCGCTGCTTCTCCTTTTTGACATGAAAGCCAATACAGAGAAGTCTTCAGCTGTTGTCCTACAGCTGTTTCAAAGCAACGTGACCTAAAAAACACAATCCTTAAACTAGTGAGTGAGTGTAGGAGAACAGGCCAAGTAGAGCTGAGTTTCTATTAACTGTTACTTACTCAGCACAATTTGCAGTCTCTGATGTATCTTATCCGATACATCAGTCTGGCTTTGGTATTTAAGAGTGAGCAGCAAAGGCAAGTGAGCTTGCTCGGTCCCAACTGTCCTCTGCAGAATGGTGCACGCGAGAGTTGTGCTGTACTTAACCCACAGCATCTCCAGCAAGGAGGATTCAGGCAGCGCTGAATGCTTCATTTTATATCATGAGTGGAAAGAACAGCATAAAAGTATAACAGGCAATCCAGGTTTTGCAGTTCATCCTGTAGCAGTCACTTCCAGGTGTATTCCAGAGCATTCGTTGTGGTCAGGTGAGCTACAACTTGAGAGATTTCTAGCGTCCTTAACTGCTTTGTTCTAACATCTGCTTACTGAGAAGGGAAATCATCTCTGCATTGGACAAGTCGTTTGATTTTTCCAAAGGTGTAAACTCAGTTTGGCACTGGCTTGTCCAGATGACTTCAAAGGGAAGTTTGCTGCCAGAGATTGCCAGATAACAAAATGCACAAACGTAACAGTTCTGTAAAACTGTGAGAGTTGCTTCATTGCCATAGACGACATCAATGAGCTTTTGCAAGCAAGTGTGGTCTTGGACCAGGAGAGTACATCTAATAACGATTTTTCTTTCAGAATAAAGGAATGTCTATGGAAGTGTCATTGAATTTAACCATTTCCAAAATTATAAGAAAAAATGTCTATGTCATCTGTATGTGAAAAGCTCTACTGTTTAGTAATACAGAGAGGAAAACTAATCAGCAAAATTGTAATTTCTGGTTTTTTTCTTCAGGCAGGTAACAGTTCCATGTTCGCTTCATAAATGAAGCAGCTTTAAGCACATTCGTATTCCTTCTGGAGTGACAGACTGAGTCTGCATCTGTTGTTGCTGCCCATGACTCCATAGACATGATATAGAAATGAGGACAATTTGCGTTTGTTACTGTGAAACCAACACTGAATTGAACAACGACAAGAAGAGTGTGCACTTAGCAGGACTGTATCTTGTGTGAATATCTACCTTGTGTGGCATTTGGGGATTTTCAATTGCATTAATACTTGCAACTGACTCTGCCAAACAAAGTACATGTCCTGAACAAAAAGCATCTTTCAAATGCCTCCAACTATGTGTAATCATTGAAAGTCATAAATACCTTTGCATCCTTAATTTAAGTTCTGTGTCCTCTACCTTACCTTGGTGTCTTCAGATGGAGTTCTCTGAACTGACAGAAAACGCAGAAATGGATACAGATAACATACTCTTCAATATTGTATATAAAACTTGAAAGAAAAATCATGCCACAGCCCCGTGTTCTAGCCTTTTACTTATAAGGAGCTGTGTTTATGCCTGGCAAAGGTCGTGTGTACAGCAACATGTGGTCTCTGTCGAGTGCCAGGTGGCTGGTTGCCCACCCCAGAAAGCCTCAAGAATTCATCAGCGTTGGTGGTCTCTTATTCAGGGGAAGCAAATACTGGATGAAGACAAAGTAAACATGAGGTGAATGTACCTCATGGAGCTTGGAAGCATTAAGAGTAACTCCTGGGTATGTGAACACTGGTGAAATTTCCAGCCATGCCAAGGGAGGTGAAAGTAAAGAGTCTGAATTGCGTTCAAACATCAGAATAAAGACAAACCCATGAAATGCATTTTAAATGCTGAAGATGCATGCCATTGATACCTTGTCTTTGAATGTATAGCATAGAAAATCTGAAAGTTCCTGAGAGTGTATTTAGCTTTTACTTACATCAGCTGTAATTAATGTTTGCATTGTGTTTTAAGTGATTAGTAAACTTTAATATCCTGGAATTCTCCACTCTTAAAGTTAATTCTCTTGAAACCAGAGAGAAAGGCTTTGTTTCCCACTCGTCTTCTGCATCTACTGCTGTTATAGCATCCATGGAATCAGTACAGGACTGATGTACAGACATGCATTTTCAAGTAAATCCTAAAAATACCATGGTAAAAGTTACAAGTGTAGTTGTGCATCTTTTCATCTTGGTTCTTTCCAGGTAATAGGTATGAATTATTTATCTGTATTAGGGGTTTGCACTTCAGAAGGTAAATGTGGCTCACTTCAGATGACAAACGCGTCTGTCATCAAACTGACCAGATCAGGAAGTTTAAATAACTTGAAAACTTAAAAAATACCCACCACCTTTTTAATGTTTTGCATAAAGTTGAAGTTCTCTTTAAAGTGTATAGTTACTTAATTTTTTAAGAATTCTTGTGGAAATTTTAATCATTTGCTGAATTTTCTGAGAACCATGCATAAAAAGAATATGACATACATATAATATATACGTGTGTGCGTGTGTGTGTGTGTGTGTGTGTGTATTATTGGTAAAACTGATTTGTCTTTCATATTTACCAAACAGAAAAAACCTCAAAACCTCAAAACCTTACTATGTTTGATGACAGAGCTTATGTGTGCATGTGGAATTTTGACCCTACTGAGATCAACATCGAAACTTCTCGTGAATTCACTGATACAAGGATTTGATCATGTGGAACTACTTTTTATTTATACTGAGGCCTTTTTGCACTTCCTGGGTGTCAGAAAAGGGTCCTCAAGTGCTGCTCAGCTGGTATAAATTAGTAAAGTTCCATTAACATTAACAGAGCTTTGGGGTTTGCATCATCTGAGGAACTCTTAGACTAGATCAAAAGGGGCCTACTGGGAGAATTAGGCCTTCATTTTTATTCAGAAGATCATAGAATCAGAGAATTATAGAATCGTTATGGCTGGAAAAGACCTTTAAGATCATCAAGTCCAACAGTTATCTAGCTCTGCCAGGCCCACTTCCAAACCATGACCCTGAGCACCGTATCTAGATGGCTTTTAAATACATCCAAGGATGGTGATTCAACCGCTGCCCTGGGCAGCCTGTCCCTATCTTTGATAACCCTTTCAGTATGGAATTTTTTTCTAATGTCTAACCTACACCTCCCGTGGCGCAACTTGAGGCCATTTCCTCTTGTCCTAATTGCTAGACCACTCACTAGAAATAATCAAGGTTGCTCATCGCTTCTAAAAAGCAAGTGCATCCCAAATTTTAGCTCTGCAAAAGTCAAACAACAGAATTCCCCATCTGCAGCTCATTTTCATTTGACATTGTGTAATTCATTACTCACAAGGCCCTCAGACTTTGTTTCAAACTTATTTAAGAGTTACCCTGAAAGAAATGTCAGCATGACCTAATTGATGGGAAATTTGCACCTTACTGGTAGCGCAGAGAATAACTGCCTATTGATTTTAACAGAGCAGAAAAGTATCCACAGTAAATGGAAGCAATTATCTTTACACATTTTACAAAAACCTTAAATACTTCTTGTTGCTATACCAGATGTTCTCAAAGCAAGCTAAAGCATTCGATGTTTTACAGTATTTTTCTTAGATTCAGTTAAACAAAAATCTTGTATTTATTAATGCTTTGTTCATAATAATGTTAGTTTTCTTAAATGCATTTTCTCCAGAAAATCAAACACACAAAAAATTTGCACGTTGGTGTGCTCCAAATTTTACTTTGATGTTCAAAATGTACGATATTTTAGTCTCCTTAGTCTACTGTTTAATACTATAGAAAATATCAGTTGTAAATGGAAACGTACATTAATCCCAGATAGACTGCTGCAAAATGTTAACCTTCCAAGAGTAACACCTTCAAATAGTAGCTAAGTCACTTTCAAATAATATCAGATACTTCCAATCTCATTCACGGAGCAGGGCAAATTTAAGGCTACTTGAGAAGAGAAAGAAAATTCATGTATAAACCTTGCAACTTCTCATCACAAACATTGTTCTTTGAATATGCACAAAAGTAATATGCCACATGGAGTAGCAGAACTGCTGTTGGAGCTCATGGTTTTCCTGTTCTCTGCACCCCCTTTTGAGAGATCTGAACACAACATTGGGTGTTCTCAATCATTTTACAAAGTAGAAGGGCGCTTCTAGACATTTGTGGATACAGTGGATAGCACAGCACTTCGAAATGTGATCGTGAAATTATTTGAAAGTTTCTGTCCCAAATTTGTCTGCCCACTGAGGAGGCCCTTGCTTTGGACGTAAGAAATTTAGAAAGACTACTGGCTTGTGAGACATCTTTAAAACCAATGAAAAAAGAGAAAGTTATGGCTCAGTGGGAGCAGGAAAGGCAGAAAAAGGCCTTATGTAAGCTATTTAACTTGTGAAGAGTGATCAGTTTTTCAGTCTTCTTTTGGGGTAGACAGAGCCCATGCATCAACACAGTTATAAAACAAATGCCCTTTCTCTTAAGATGAAATTCGAGAAAAGTGAGTGTTGTATTTTTTATACAAAAGTCAACTAAATTTGTTTTTCAGATATCTGTGGTTTTGTGAGAAACTAACATTTTTAGGTTTCCTTTGGAATAGTTGAACTTTGCATGCAATTAATAGTGGCCTTGTGAGAATAAAAAGCAGATAGTGATATACTGAGTAACTCGATGTGCTACTTTAGATGTGTGTTTACTTGAATAAATTAATGGTACTTATTTCATCACAAGGTCATTTTATAAGTAAGCTTATAA